TCCCCCCCCCCCCCCCCCCCCCCCCCCCAGCATCGGGCATCCCCCCCGCAGCAGGAGGGATTTCGGGAAGGAGATAAATACCAGATGGGAGAGGGCCGGGCTGCCAGGAACACACTCCCTGCATGCCAAGAGCTGCTGGCGCGAGTGGGTGCGTGGGCCGGGGAGGGCGGGGGGTGCCCCTGCTCCCGGAGACTGCTCACCTCGTTCCCCAGGGCCCAGCAGCCAACCAAGGATGGGACAACTAGAGAGGGGTCTGCACCCCCTCACTCCCCTTTGCCCCCCGAGGTGCCCAGGGCAGGGAACACATCCCTTGTGCTGATAGCATAGAGGGAGGCTGCCTCCCCCTCGCCCACCCCGTGCTGGGGCATAGCCTTACTCTAGCCCCACCCGGGTCTCTGCCACTCCCAGGAGGCCACCAGCCCAGCACTGGCCTGGCTGCAGACCCAGCTGCCAGTCCTGCCTGCCATGGCTACGGGCAGCAGCATGACTCACCCGCTCAGCTCACCACCAGCCAGAGCTTGCAGTGCCAAACCCGCGGCACAGGCTGGTACAGGGGCTGGCACAGGGGCTGGCACAGGGACTGCCCGGCCGTGCTGCAGTGCCTGCATCCCCAGACAAGCCTGCTGTGCACCTCCCATGGGTATTTGGTTGGGAGTAGGACAGTGGGGAGCTCACAGTGCCTTGGCTGAGCACGGCCCAGCCTCCTTCCGTATCACACAGGCCACGCATCCTAACAGCTGCCTCCTTTCACCAACAGGGCGCCCCTGTGTGCCAGCCCATGCCCATAGCCTCCACCCGCTCCCCCCAGGGCTGCCAGCCCGCTCCGCCTGCCTCCCTGTCTGTTGTCATGGTGACCAGATATGTGGTGACAGGCAAGGATGGAGCCTCACACCCCAGCGGGGCTCTTTGCCCGGCAGGGTTGGCTTCCCCCCATTCCTGCTCTTCCCCTGTCACCTCTGGGTATCGGCAGGGACCCTCCGTGAAGCCCCTGCCCCAGGCAATGTGCTGGGGGTGCTCCATCTGCTCAGATGCCAGGATCGCAGCTGTGTCCCAGGCAGCTCATGTGAGGAATGGGGACTGCGCCATCCTCCTTCAACCTGACAGGGCATCCCCTTCTCAAAGCCAGGCTGTGCACAGAGACAGACAAACTCATCTCAGTAATGACACCTGTCTTTCTTCCCAGGGAGAGCTCCCTCCAGGGACAGCCTCATCTTTGTACAGCAGCAGCTGCAGAAACATGCCACTCTTGCACACTTGCCTTGGGCTCGCCCACAGGACAGCTGCCAAGCAGGACTCCTGTCCCCCAACATCTCTGCACTATGGTGACAGTGTTCACCACAACCATTGTCTCACAAGGCCATCCCCACTGCCTGCACCCAGCCCAGTGTGTGTCTCTGCTCCCCCAAAACACCTGGACTGTGGCACTGACAGCACACAAAGCAGTATCCCCACCTGGGCTTTGGCTGCTGACAGCCAGCAGCAGCAGCCAGGGATGGGCACATCCCCAAGCTTACCAGTGACATAGTCCCTCGTGCTGGGATGGGGACTCAGGGAGAGCATCAGTGCCAACAGCAGGTGCTCAGTGAGGCCCCCAGTAGCTGCCACTGCTGTGAAACAGAAGTGCCATTTCACATTTCTTGGCAGCACTGGAAGCAACACAGATGGAGGCACCCGCACTGGCCTCCTGGCATGCCTTGGCAGTCCCCAGCCCTGTGGCACCAGCCCCAGGTGGTAGCACTGCCTCCCAGACATGAAGCAGAGAAAGCCCTGGGTCCTGTGGCTGATGACTCCTGCCTCCTTTCAGCTCCCTGACATCCAGTCACTGTCTGCCAGGCTACTGACCCCATTCCTGCCAGGCATTGGACTGGATGGGAGTGCCTGGTGGTTCCCAGCTCCAGCTGCCCAGGATCCCTGCAGAGCACCGTCAGGATGTGCTCCACCGCAAGCCACTCACGCACACACAAGGTGATTTTCCACCATAAAACCACTTGAACCATCAGTGACTGCAGGAAAAGCACTCACCTCCATCACAGCACCTGGAATAGGCACCCGAATTCCCACCAAGGGTACAGGGCTCAGGGGCAGTATCCGGGTGTGGAGCTAGGGCATGGCAGGGACTGGTGAGCTCCCAGAGCATTGCCTGAGTGAGGGCAATGCAGCACAACCTCTACTGCCAGCCCCACTGCAGCGGGGAGTCTGATGCTGTGCCTCCTACCCAGCTCCATATCCTGAGGGGGGGCATGGCTGGCCTCCAGCCCTTGCATCATCCCCAGGGTGTCCCAGCTCAGGGTCTGCTGCCCAGGCTGAAGGAGCCAGGGCAGGAAGAACCACTCACTTCCCACTCCCACAGCCCCTTCTTTCCGGTACAGTTGGCTTTGTGTTGGACAAAAGGCTGCAAACGAAGCAAGAAAGGAGATTACGTGGCTGCTAAAAGACGAAAAAGGAAGGTGGGATAAGAGCCAGGGGAAGGAGGGTGCGCATCTGGCACACCAGGGGAGATGCTACATGCAATGGCAGGGGATGAGAGGGGTCTCTTATGCACCCCACTGCCAACCCACCCACATTCAGGTCCTTGGTAGCTTCCCCTGCTACTCAGGGATGTGTGACAAGCAGCACCTTTGGGGAACCAGACACTAGAGCTGTCCCAAGGAGATGCAGAGCCCAGAGCCACAGCGTTGCCCTGTTCCACCCACAGCCCAGCTGTGCTGGCACAAATCCAGCCCTCCTCCTTCCTGGGATGGGCAGACAGTCCTTCCAACACCCCGAATCCCAGGCAGCCTCAGAGAGCTCCCCCCACCCCATAGCTAAGTCACGTAGCTCCCCTGGGTGTGAGGCACTGTAGAGATACAGGTGTATGTGGGGCCATTCCCAGGGTGACCCCTTTCCAGCCTCCCCCCAGCAGCCTGCCAGGCTGGAAACCCTCCTGGAGTGCTGCACCGATGCCACTCACATCCCACACAGCCCATCTGCTCCTCTTCTCGCTCACCCCCAGCCCTGCGTGTGCCACGGTCTGCCTGTCCCTGCCCACGGGCAGTGGCACGTGGGCTCAGCAATGGGAAAAGCAGGCCACATCTCAGCGTGGGCCTCTTGCCTATTTTCCCAGGCACTTTTCACAGGAGCAGAGGCTTTCACATGAAAAAGTTCAAGGTGGTTCCCCAGCAAAGGCATGAATTAAAGCATTGCTTTGCCAGGAGAACAGGTACCATTGCCCCAACCTGGCTCCGGTAGGGGACAGCAGGGACCAATATTCTGCAGATCCAGACACAAAGGTAAAAGCATGGCTGAGCCTTCCCAAAATAGAAGAACCTGTCTGCCCTTATGGACCACCCCAGCTGATGATCTTCTGCAGCACCTTTCAACAGGATCTCAGACTATGGAGATCTGGAATACCAAGATGGACCACAGGGCTATCTGGAAAACCCTGCCCTCACCCCCTCAAGATATTCTCATTAGGCTGTGGCCTGGCATGAATGAAGTGACATTTTCATTCAGGGATCTGTCTTAGCTGCAACCCGGGACCCCCACATGAGCAGCAGAACCTGCTCCAAGAAAGGATGGTTCTCTCCAACCAGCCATAGCCACTGCTGCTGCCACCATTATCCAAGATCCAGGGGTCATGGCTGTACCCACAGTTCGCTCAAGAAGCACCAACTTTATCCTGAGCTTAAAAAGCCCCCCAGCTGTCCCAGGTGACCTGAATGAGGGGGGGTCCTGGGTGAGTCTGCTCAGTACCACCAATGCAAATTAATGCAATCACTGGCCTGGCAGTGAACAACGTAGGAGGAAAGATCCAGGGTGGGTCTGGGGTAGAGGTGTGTAGATACCAATGGGGCTCTGGGGGGGATGCTGGGATCACCCCCTTGCTGCTACATTGCAGGTCCCCACAGGGGAT